AACTTTTTCTTTTCAATTATGATGTCATTAACATTAACCAAGTTGATTACTTAATCCTTTTTCATAAAACATTGCCTGTATGTAAATTGCAATAAAACAACTAATTGGAATATCTCAATATATAAATAACTGTGAGTATCTAAATCACGGAACTACAACACATAGTCCGGACCATAATCCTGATACAATTATAAAACTCAATGTTAAAATAGAACATAGTCAATTAATGTGGCATGGACAACCCCCATGCTCACCAAATAAGGCAACAAAGCCCAACAGAGTCTCAAATCAAATAACAAGATAATAAAAGTAAAGCGGCATCCAATCATAACAGTATAATCATCATCATGCATCAGTCAACTAAGCTTCGGCCTCCTGCCGCCTGAGGTATCAACCCCCCGAGTTACCTGAACCTGAAAATGTGCCCCACACATAGGGTGAGATATCTAAACAGAAATCTCAGTAAGACAAGGGGTCCTCAAGGATTTTTCCACCCCAAACTCACTTACATGTGCAATATAAGTTCTAAAAGCGGTAAAACAGTATAAGTTCCAAAATCAGTGCAATGCAGCAGAATAATCATGTCATGTGTCTCAACTATTCTACTGGTCAGAGAAATGCAGGATTTACATACGTCAATTACCTACATCAGTGCAAGACACCACTTGCACCCACCCACAGAATCACCCTATGGTATATCTCCTACATACACAGGCTTACCGTCTAGGTGGAACAACACATGTATATCATAAGGCACTTGCACATAACAGCTCAACAACATTTCAAAATCAATACATGAAAACACATCATGCATATAAACCATTCCCCCATGGGGTATGGTGGAACCAAGACTGGCTAAAGCGAGGACACGAAAGCTTACCTCGCAAGCTAACTATCCAACCAAGAGTCCAACCAAGCTCAAAGTCCACAAATAGCAGAATCACAATCTATTTTAGACCAGCAATCATATCAACATTCATCATCTAATAATTCAAGACACAACAACAACGTTTTCTTCTTCGTTTCATGTCTTTAGGCTTCTCACAAATCCATAAGCCCTTAATCACTTTGATTCTGACTTAGTTAATTATTACAGAGGTTCAACTTAACCAATCATGGGTCCATAAACCCATAATATAGTTTTGTCTGAATAGAACCGTCACTGTCTCGAAATTCCCAGAATATCCGGATATTTGTCGGGGCCATATCTGGATATCCATATCCGGATATCTCCAACCCTATATCCGGATATCAATATCCAGATATCAATATCTGTATATCATATTCAGATATTTCGCGATATAATGCAGTTTCTGCATTTCGCGAAGATATCACTTCAAGGTTGGATTTTTAACCCATTAATACGTCCAAGCATGCAATTTTATACACTATTAGGTTCATGTTCTTGTTGGTTACCTATTCAACTCATTTTACATGCCAAGACTTCACTTTTAACCAATAAAACTCGTGATCAAAGGTGGTGAAGCTTACCCAAAGGTTCAAACTCAAAAAAGGGTGCTCTTGGAGCTCACCAATCTGTCCCAAGAAGTCAGATTACACAAGCCACGAAATGGTGACCAAAGCTCGGTCCTTTCTCAACCAAAATGGCACCTTGAAGCTTCAAATACCAAGTAAAAGGTCTCCTCTCCTGCAACTCAGAATACAACCCTCATACACTCAAGAAAAGAGGCTACCAAACTCATAAATTTCAAGACTTTCACCCACCCAAGGCTAGAGCACACTCATACAAGGAACTTTGGTGAAGAAAGTAGGAGGAAAGGTGCTCTCTTGGAGCTTCAATGGAGGGGAAGGAAGGGTGGCAAGGTGGTTGACTCCAAGCTTCAGAATTTTCCCACGTAGAAGGCACAATATGGCCTAGGGTTATGTGTCATTTCGTTATTTATAGTCATTTAAGTTTTAATCGCACTATATTAGCACTAATATCTACGCTTAGCATTTTAATCTCAAACTTTGGATTCTGAACCTAGCCATTTTTCTAAGATTTTTCATATTTTTATTTTATTTTTCGCAACACTTTGTCGATACGTGCTTTTACGTAGCCAGTATTAGTTCTGACACCAATTCTCATTATTTTGACTTGAAACTTGACATACTAGTCCTATATATTATTCTAGTAATATATACACACTTTTCATAATTTTTCGGGATACTTCATCGGTACGCATTTATATCGTGAGGCAGAGCCGGTATCCGCACTTTTCGTCAGAAAAATGACTTTCAACATTATTAATCACTTACCATAATTATTTAAGCTCTCTCATAATTATTCTAGGTCAATTATGGAATAATTTCCAAATATCATATTTAATTAATTAATTTCCTAATTTAACAGTGCAGATTCTTACAATTACGAAGTCAAATTCTTCCAAAGATTCCACCTTTATGCAAATTCAAAAGTTTAAATAATAAACCCCAATGATTCAATACGACCGAGGCTCAGAAAGCTATTATAATGCAACTACTTTAAAACCAATTAAAGATTGTAACTTTTGTCCCAAAACCAAAAATCACCATCAGGGAACAAAAATAATACTACATAGAAGAGGCTTGATGCACAACCATTATCTCTATTCAAAGTCATGTATAAGGATTGAACCAAAGACCCAGAGATAAGACTTTATATAAAGAAAAAAAATTAAACCCCAAAAAAATCAAAATTTATGCCAAAAGACAATAAAGCAAAACTTTTCATGATTCATCATATATAAAAAAAAATCACAAAACTTAATTCCCTCATGATTTAAGATGACGATTGCTCTGATACCAATTTTTGGAATATTAATTCCTCCAAAACTTATGGTGATAACCATCACCTACAAATCAAGATCCATTATACTAAATCACAAAGAAATATTAACAGAAATATGGAGGAATATATGTCTCTATAGCAGCAGAATAACTTTGATCTTCTCCTTTAGGGTATGAGGTCTTCCTCAGGCAAATAGCCTTAATCCTTATTCTTTAGTGTGTTGTCTCTCTTGATGGGAAAAAGAAAAGAGGGTTGTTATTTGATATATTGGGGACCATAATCCTTTATAGTGTTTTCTTTATTGTTGGACCAGTAAGCTCACATTATACCTAGTTGACCCAACTCTAATCTCCACTCATTTCTCCCACACTTGCTTAGGAATCTATTTAGGCATCTTTATCTGATCACTTTAATTTACTCAATATTTATATGAAATAGCATAATATAATTATTAATACAATATGTAGCCCACAAACATATTAGGAAATATAATTTCCTAACATATTCAAATAGGATTATTGTCGTTTGCTTATTGAAGCCTCAAAAAGACTTAAAAATGTTAGAATTACGAATTTTATTTATATTTACAAATTTTTTATTTACAAATTACTCTATACATTCCTGAAAATGCATTCCTACCCGAGTTTATTTTGAAAAATGCATAATTAAATGTATAAGAGTTTATAAATAAAAAATTTATAAATACAACTTTTTACTTTTATAATAACATGAAACATATGGGTTATGATCGATTTCCGTGATAAACTAATAAACGCGTTTAGCATTACAATATTTCTTATATATGTAAGGAAATTAGGAGTATCGTGTCCGCAGATTCATGCTTGTATTCTTGTTTACATATTACGTTTTTCTTTACTGATAGTACAAACTATCGCAATAATTAAAGCGCAAAAACCTAAGAAATCGCAAGTGTCAAAATAAAAAATATTTGGAGCAATATAGAATTTTAACTTATCAAATATCAACGACGTATTGTAAGGCGACATCTGGAGCTCGTAGTTGCAAACCCCATTCATTCTTAATTGCACAGATTTGTGTACGGTTTACATAGTCCACGTGTATTCATGTAGATTAAATTCTTCAAGCTTAGTTAACTTGCACAATGCATCCCTTAATTGGCCAACAAAAATGGTCAGATTAATCCCTTGGAAACCAGCCTTTGAACCCAAGTTTCAATATGTTTTGCAAATTAAACACGAAGCGTAGCAGCTGCATTTATGAATTCTGCCTTTGTTCAAAGTTCAACATATACGGCAAAGCCCTTTGCTTATCCTAGCAGCATGCCTAAATTTCCTCAGGCCATCCACTGCAATTTCATCAGATGTCTGGCAATGCTAGAATGTCATTAGTACCCTTTGACTTCCACAAGTATGTGAGCTTCCAATATTGTTAGAATTTTATTTTATATAAATTAATTTATAGAGTCAGATCATTTCACAAATTATAAGTTACACTCTCAATTTTGATAATTAATCTTATTCATACGTAGAGTTTCTAGTTTTTTTAATTGTGTGAGTCATAGATACAAATGAATCAATAGCTAACAATAAATGTAAGAAGAATTTTTCTTATATTGATATAAGAATAACATACCCTAAATTTATATATTATTAACTTAATTTTAATAAAACTCGTACCAATATTTATAAATAGTGTTAGACTTGATTTACCATTATATATTATTAACATGCTCTCTCCTTGGACATCGTAGTCATCCTTTACCATGGAAGGCTCCATTGCTCTTAAGGCCGTAGTATTCTAAACAAAACCTAATAACGTTTATACTTAGAATGATTTATAAATTTATTCAAATAAGTGAATTTGTATTTTTTTCATTATTATTTGTTTCTATAAATCCTTGACGTATGAATCATATAACTCATGAAGCGAGGGGTATAACGGACCATATGGAGAAAATTGAAGTTTGAATGGAGAGATATTGGAGTGCTCAAGTTATATAAGTAGCTGAAGCTTTTTAAGGTCAAATAATAGAATATATTAGAATTCCACAATACTCTTCCTCATGCAGCATGCAACCTCTTCACCTTTAACCACTTTTGCGGCGTTAACTTCTCCCGCTGTAGTCGTGTTATTATAAACCCTAGGTCCCCCTTCATTTTCTACCATCCTCCCACTTTCCCAAGAAGCAAACAAAGAAAAAATATACTCTCCTGAGTCCCTTCAACTATCTCTTGCTACTGGCAAAGCCATGGGGTTCCTAAAAGTGATATTCATCATAGCAATAACCATGGCTTTGTCAATCACACTCACAATGAAAAGCCTCAACAAAGAGGAAACCGTGAAACCGGCTTTTGTGCACAATGATCTGCCATCATCAGAGCAACCATTGATCCGTAAGAACAAAATAGTTCTTCCTTCAAAGAGGGTGAGTCGCTTCCTAGCTCAAAACCCTAATGCTGCTGATCATTGTAACAAGGACAACGAGGTTTGTAACTTGATTGGTGCCAATAATAACTCCACATGCTGCAACAACAAGTGCATGGATTTGGGCTATGATATGCATAACTGTGGTGCGTGCAAGAAGAAATGCAAGTACACTGAGACATGTTGTAGAGGGCAATGCGTTGATACAAACTTTGACAAGAGGCATTGTGGGGAGTGCAATCATAGGTGTGAACTTGGTCAATATTGTGTCTTTGGAATGTGCGATTACGCCTAAGATTGAGTCTCCAATTGTAGCAGTGTCTTATATTATATGAGGTTTGTGATTTTATTAAATATATACAATAAAGTATAAACCACATTTGTGGTGGTTCCTCAAACAAAATACGTATAGTTATAGCTTATATAGTCTATAATGTAATTAAAGTTGCAGTCTTCAAGTGTTTCATAAAGCATAATGCTATTCTTAACTCTAAGAAAATAAGTGAAATATATATGTGTCTATTATCGGTCACAAATTATGAGATGTTTTGTAATTCTTTTTCTCATTTTCCTCTTTGTATATGTATTGGTTAGTGCTAGTTTTAATTCCGAGAATGAAAAAAAAATAAAAAATATAAGTAAAATTTTTTTGTTCTGCAATTGTGTAGTAGAAAACTTGCTCTCATGCACATGAAATTTCAATGAAACAAATCAATTTAACCAGTTTTTTTTCTCAAGTCTCATGTTTATTCTTCTCTTTGAAAAATAAATGCTTCATGTTCATTCGTAATATATATTAATTGCTCAAATGTGGTTACTGGTTGGAAGCACGATGCCTACGCAGCGCAATTGTCGGTGATTTTGTAACTCAATTTCAAACAGTTTATATATTAAGAGTATGTTTGAAATTATTCACTAATCGATTTTATGTATAATAAATTTTCTTATTAATGATAAAATTAGTTAATTTTTCTTTGGAGAAATTAATTAAAAAAATTAAGAATAACATTTTTTGTGTAAGTTATATAAAATAAAATAAAAAAAACTGCTTTTGCATATGATAAAATCCAACAGATTGAGCAATAAGCAAATGACCCCAAGAGTTAATTTTTACGGGTTTTTTTTATGTTATCTATTGGTTCATGGATTATTTAGATTCGAGCTTGGTAGGTGGAAACTCTACCTATCAAGTTTGTAATGCAGTTGTGTTCAAATGGATTCGAACTCGCGCGACACCACTAATGAAGTTAGAATAACCCTCTTAATAAAAAGTTAGAACAACCCAATACAAGTTAATCGACGTGCTTGATGGTCTTTTACACTTAAGTTAGACTAAATATGTTCTCGATTTTTTTTATTTTTGGTAGTTAATATGTGGTCAACTTTAATATGACATCGTAAAGCCTCCAAGACTTATGGGTAAATTTGGTAAAAAACTGACATCTACAATTCAAAAAACTTATAATTAAAGTTAACATTTTGACCAGCAAAGGCTACCTTTAATTAACGATTACTTAAATTGTTTCTGGAAAACGAAGATATCCAACTTATATAGATTCGAAGCAAATTAAAGTGCCATGGGGTCTTCCTCGAAAGCCGCTTGTATTCACATGCATGCTGCCAATAGAGACCGACCATTAGATTTTCCTGCAAATGGGGTGTCTCACATGCATTTCAGTCGTGGAGGGACAAGATCATCAGAAGGGGAAAATGTTAGATCTGAGGAGGAGGGGGGGTGGGAATCAACTAAGAGAATTGTTTAGAATAGCTAGATTGCTTGATCTTATATGATTTCTTATTCTCCTTTTTGGTGTCATACGTTTAAGAAGAAAAAAAGTATATAAATAATCAAAATGTATATGTACCGTACATGTGAAGGTGTAGCTTTTCTTAATTAGTGTAGTTAATTGAATTTTTATTAAAAATGTTAAATCGCATCTACCTATAAAGTTTTAACATTTTTTATAAAAACTTTGATAGTTTCTGTGATAGAACGTTAGAATGCATCATCCCAAAAGATAGCTCTGGAAATGTTCAAGACTTTATAAATCTCACATTAGTTGCCTATACAACCAATGTATGGCTTCAAGTCCCATGTCTTGCAAATGGGATCGTAACATTCCACCACGCTCTGCAGCCCCAGCGCCCACACAGGCTAACTTTGAGCTAGTCTTTTACTAGACTCGCGCGAACACTTCAATGCTGACATCACCACCCGCGCCGCTCGATTGCGAGCTAGAGATATAGTGGAAGACTATGATACTATTTGATAAGAACCTTGAGATATATTATCCCGAAAGCTAGCTCAAAGAATAGGAGTGTCCAAAATCTTATAAATCTCACATTAGTTACCCATACAACCAATGTGGGACTTCAAGTCTCATACCTTACAAATAGTGGTCTAAGACCTAATAAAATGTATGCAATGTGTTTGTTAATGTATGCATTATGTTTAATTAGATTATTTTTAAATAAATTAAAAACAAATTGCATACATTTTATGTCTTAGATTTTACAATGTCCAGAAACTATAAAGTTTTTATTAAAAAATGTTAAAACTTTATTGCTTGACGAGGTTTAAGATTTTTAAAAAAAGATCAATTACGTCATGATTGAGAACAACCAATTAATAGGTAGAGATTGGGAATGATTTATGTGCTTAAGTGTAAAGGTTGATCAATTATATTTAAGATTGAGAACAACCAATAAATATAAAGATTTTACGTCTCCATATTAATTGTTCTTACTTTAGTTATGTTTTATATTTTGTTATTAATTTAAGTTAGTTATTTTTTTTAGATATAAAAACCCTAGGATAAAAAACCTTATTATAGATTTAATAAAACCAAGAATTAGTAGAATAACAAAACTATTTTACTTAAAAACTATTTAATAAAATACTATTTAATTAAAAACTATGTAATAAAATCCTAATGTAGAATTAGTATTTTAATTAAATAGTAATTACAATATATTAAACCCTAAGATCAAAACCTATTTAGCAAAATAATTAAATAGTAATGAAATTATGAAATAGTAATTATAATTAGTATAAAGTTAATATTTTGAATTAAATATTAAATATTATTTAGGGTACCCTAGTGTTCTGCCTGTGTAGCAGAGATGTTTAGCCGTTGGCTAGTGAACTTATGTTGGATCTAGTACTCTCTCTAGATACCTATGAGTTAAGTATCTTGAGGGTAGCAAATCACGACACACAATGTTGGGACCTTAGCCAGAGAGGGGTGGTGTGTGTGCACTGTGATTGCAGAAAATAGAATAAAGAGAGATTAGTCATACCTATGGCCTTTAGCTCCTATTTATAGAGTTTACCTTAGGGTTTAAGTCATTTGGGCCTTCTAAGGATATGGGCCTTACTCAAGTCCATAACAGTTGCCCCCTAGCCTGATAGGCTGATAGCTCAGGGTGCCGAGATGTTTGAGTTCTGTGCTTCAATGCGAGTGTTATATCTCGAATTCACCTTTACCCCGGATCTTACCCCAAGTTCTTCCTTTTATCTGACCAAAAAGGTTATAGCCGGGATACTCTAGCTGGTCCATGATAAAGGTGTTATAGCTTATCAATAGCTGAGATCCTTTTCGTTGGCCTTCTTCTAGTTCTTCATATACGCTCAAAGTGCTTTATAACATAGGTCGGCACGAGTTATTCCTGCTCAACCCTTCATGCTCCAAGAAATGTTTCTTCTCCCAAGCAATGATAACTGCTTTCTACGTGGCTTTTCCTGATAGGTGGGACGTGTGCCATTACTCCCTCCACGCCGCCTCACATTAATTTGCAACTGTCTGAACGTCTTTCAACTGTCTTGTCTGCTAATGAATTTACTTTAATGCCCATGCCCTTTCATTTCGTGGGCTTTGTCCGTTTAACTTTACTTTCCTTCTTTTATTTTCACATTTCAACACTTCTTTCGTATCTCTTCATTTGCCTTTACCTCGTTCTTATGAATTCCATGTTCTTCCTTTTTCACTTGCCATTTTCGAAGCTCTACTTTTGCAATTCTTCCAAAGCTTACTTACTTCAGGTATATTTTATAGATTTTGATTTGCCTCTGTTTTTTATCACAATCCTGAGTGTGCTTTTCTTTCTAATTTGCCCTTCTTCTTCTTCACATTTTCTTAATTTCTCTTCTCATTTTTCGTTGTGAACATGCATGCTTCTGGTATTGTCGCATAGCTTGTGTCCTTTTCTTCCAGTCACCTGTTATTTGCTATATTCTGATATGCATTGTATTACTTGCTGAGGATTTTTCTGGTTACCATTTTTTTTTATTCCTCATTTTTTAAACTTTTTCTTATTATGAGTGAGAGGAATTTCAATGGTCAGTATAACACCTCATATTTCTAAATGTGTAATTATATATGATAATGTTGATTAAAAGGGTAGGATTAGTGAAAATCCTGAAATTAAGGCCAAAATATGTAAAAATGGCTAAATGGTAATTTACCAAACACGTGACCCTAGGCAAGAAAAATTGAGTAGAAGGTCTCAAATGGCAAAAATAATGTCGGAAATGGATTCAGGACGAAAAATCGAGTATATATTCAAGTTTCGGAAAATTTCATGAATAGTGATTTTACCGATGTAAAATACTGCGGTATAATTGTACCGATAAGCGTAAAAATATGATCAGTATTTTTAGGAAGTAAAAATATGACGTGAACGAAAAAAATACGTAGGATATGAATTTGTGGGTTAAATTGGGTAATTTAAGAAAGTTAAGTGACGTGTGGGACCCACTTAAGTGATTTAAGTGACTAAAGTGTCAAAAGGTCACAAATTTCTGAATTTCTCTCTCCTCTTCTCCTTCTTCTCCCGTGAGCTTTCTCCATGGTTAGGGCCATTGAAGCTTTTGATTTCTAACTTTTTTTGTAGACACTTTTAGGAGAAACTCCCAACTACAAAGTTGTTCCCTTGAGATTGTGAGTGACTTTCAGGTAGAGTGCACCTTGTGGGGATCATTGTGTGAGGAGATATGTCCATAAATCAGCCACGAAATTTATGACATTTTGGTGAAATTTTGGGGATTTTTGTGTTGAAACATTGGTTGGAGATCATTCCCTTGGACCATTGGAAGCTATTGGTGGTTTCCTCTCACGGGACCTAGAGAAGTGGAATAAGCTTGGAGCTTACGTGTAGAGCATTGTCTTCGGAGTTGAGGTAAACCTTTGGAACTTGGGTTTTAATCCCTTGTGTGCTCCATCACACCTAGTGGAAGGTTGTGGTTGGATTTTGTGCTTTTGACATTGTGTGAATATGTATGTTCATGCATTATTG